GAGTCTGCATATTACCCCCAACAATCTGGGTCCTCATTTTACTGACCTTGGCATTTGGCCTTATTTTCAGGGAGGTATTATTATTTTTGAGGTGCAGAAGGCAGCGAGCGTGGTCACCTCATGGTGCTGCTGTGTTGTAATATATTTGGGGGAAGGCTTATTTTCGGACGAAGGCTTATTTTAGTGCATGTGCTCAAAAGCCCAATTGGGCTTATTATCTGGGGAGGTCTTATTTTTCAGGGAAACAGGGTACTTTTTCCAGTCTTTCCTGCCATGTGACAATCAATTCTATTCTGTTTTGATTTACCTGCTTATGAAAAAAGAATCTTGGACCCCTTTATGCAATTTGCTTTTCAACGTTCTATTGGGTTAGATGGAAGACAAAGAACTCAAAATCTATAATGTGATTACAGTTCTCTGCTGGTCTAATTTTCAAAACTGATACTTAGTTATTAATATATTATGCAGAACAGATACGCAGAACTCTTCCACCTTGAAGGCTACAGGTTTCCTGAACTGAAAGCATTGAAAGCCAAGATGATGACCAATAATCCAAATTGAAAGCACTTAACAAAAAGAACAGTGCAAAGGCAGCAATGGGTCAAATTATTTAGAAGTCAAAACCCGATTAGGTATTTAGGCATGCAAATTAATGCAGACATTGGTCCAACATTTCTATGTTTCCAAAATACAACTTTAAGTAGGAAGCGGTGATTAATCTTAATCAGATGAGGGTGTCTTCACCATTAAGCTTTTTATCCCTTGCTTTTTTCGTTTACTAATTTGAATTAAGTGGTGCCTTTTTTCCAATGGTTTGCTGGATGGAAATTCATGTGTGAATGATTGGAATGAGGGGGGACTGTGGTCCTGGAATCATGATTGTAACTTCCCATTCTGACCTAGTTTGAGAAGCTTTGTGGATTACAATTGTCCTCTGACAATAAATCATCTGAAGGATTGTAACAGATAGGTACTGTATGGAGACAAATTATTCATGATCTAAAATTCACTATGAAAAAATTGAGAAAATTACTCAGATATTCCGTCCTATGTTCCCATTGGAATATTCCTGTCTGTTCCATATCTTACCTAGATGGAGGTAGGTCATCAGAGCAGGATATATTTAGCTGCTGTCAGACATTCAAAGTAGGGAAGGTTAGGAAACGGGAATTGCTAGCAATCTTAAAATGTATTTTAATGCAATTAGAATATTGTAATAGAATCTTGAAAGTCTGTCAGCTCACCTCTACTTCAACTTATACCTAACACAATTAAAATGGAGTTGCTTTGAGTTGCCTTTTCAAATGTTCTTCTTTTCCCAAACTCAGATGTCTTTTCTTTAACAGTTTGGATTACCCTTCTTCTTTTTCTGTGTCGATATAACATTCTTTTATCGCAGTGGAACAGTTTTCTGAAAGAAGCTGCAGAGGCATCTAGAGGCTAGGAAAACAGATCCTCTCTTTGTACTGTTCATTCCTAGTCTTACCTAGGAGTTGCAGAACCCTTTCTGATTTTTGGTGGTTGGGGGAGAGGAGAGAAAATGAAAGTACTTGGCATGGCATGGGATACAATATATAAATGTTTTTATTCAATTGGAAAAGGAAAATAATTGCAGCCAACAGAAAGAATGTTAGAACAGGGGTAGGGGAGCCAGTAATGAAATAACAGCAAATGAAGGGAAAGTTTGACTATTATTAACTGGCAATTACTGTTATAATTTTCTGTGAATATGTAATCTCATTTGAGAAGTACTATATTTCTTGCTAAATAATTTCCTTGTTGTAGGAGTATGGTTCAGCTTTCCTGAAGTTGAGTACAAGTATTGCCCCTGGAGGTATCATGCGTGAACTCTTCCATTTCAATCTGAATTTACTGATCCAAGGATTCAACCTTTATTTGGAGGGGGGTGTATTTTCTTATCTACTTGCCATATGGCATCTAAATATTCTTACACATCTTTTTTTTAAAAAAAAAAAATCCACCTCCTTTCATTCTTAGCTTGTGTCTTATTCTCTTCAACTGATGGGAATTTTGAGTCCATGAGGTCACCTAGGGGTGACTTGGGCGGCTATATAAATTTGTTAAATAAATAAATAAACTGTCAGTTTTTACTCTCTGTCCTTCATGCTGCCTCTGTAAGGACTTTCTTCTCTATTTTCAGAGTCTTGTTATGGTTTATTATCTTTATAATTTGCAACAATAATATTTCCCTTCCGTGTCCTCTGGACCTTTTTCTCCTATCTCCTACTCATTTCTTTCCCCTCTCAGTGACTCATGCCATTTTCCTACTCAGGTTGTTCTGGGATGTGGGAGATAATCAGCGCCTGGTTGTTAGTTGTTATTGTTTTTTTCCTCTTAGTGCAAGTATAGCACTGCTGTTGCTAGCATCAGTTCAGCCAAAAGGTTATGGCACAACTAGGGGGAGGTGGAAGACAATCAGTCAGAAAAGGAATTTTTTGCACTGAAACTCACAATTTGTGAAATTATAGGGTGTTTAGAGTTTTTTTTTCAAGCAGTAACAAACCTATTAAAACATTTCCAATTTTTGAATTATCACTTTTATTGATTTTTCATTATTTGTGTTGCATTTGGTTTCTCAGGGCTATTGTTAATGCCAATGAAAGGCACCTAGTGGAAAGACGACAGAGAAACATGATGGTTAAATATGGAGCAGTAGACTTCCCTGACGCTTTTGACATTGTTATCTCTTGAGTGCTGTGCTGATTTATTCCCTTTGTTATAGTCAAAGTTTCTTCTGCAACTATTTAAAATTATATCCTTGCTTGAGAATATTTTGTCTGCTAGCTGCATTTCTTACCTTTGTTATGAGTTATATGTGTGTGTGGGAGTAGTCTTTTTTTTAGTTGGGTTACATCCAGTGGTGTGTTTCAATTTTTTTTACAACCTCTTCTGTAGGTGTGGCCCGTTTTGTTGAAGTGGCTTGCCAGCCATGTGACTGGGTGGGCATGGCCAACTTGTAAAATGTGGTGAAAGTCACTTAACAACGCTCTTGCTTAGCAACCAAAATGTTGGGTCAGAAACCCTGGCATTTGAAGCACGGAAGTCTTAAAGCTGTCAAGTTACAAGGCCCTTGCACCCTTAACCCTTTAGAAAAAAAAATCAGGGGTGTTCAAACTTGACAGCTTTAATACTTGTGGACTTCAGCTCCCAGAATTCCTCCTCTCGCTCTTCATCTTGATGATATGCAGACAGGCCGGGGGAGGGGGGGGAGCTGGAACCGGTTCTAAACGGCACTGTAGATTTGTGGAACCTTTTCTATAGAAGAGGTTAGAACTGGCAGGAACCCACCCCTGGTTACATCTTATCATGGAGTTTTGCTAAAGTTCAACTATAACATTTTTGTTCTCGCTTTCCCTTCTTGTTGCTGTTTTATTGCTTGCTTATTGCTAGCTAATGGTATTTGATGAGATAGATTCCTTCTGTTTCCTGGAGAAATGTTTCATTTTGTTACTTTCAGCTCTTACCTCTCTTCGTTCTTTTTGTCATATTTCTGATCATGCAAATTTAGGTCCTGTGAGAAATCAGATGCTATGAAATATGAAAATTGCTTGGGAAGTAATTGGAGAAACAGTGTGACATACGAAACCCGTGGAGATAATGCTCACACCTACTTATTCACGATATTTAATTTTTAATGACAGTTTTAATTAATAGAGTATAGGTCTTAGGGCTTTTCAGAGGCAAGGAAGAGATGGCAGGGAGTTGCAGGACGGTGAATAAAGGGTGCCATTAAAATATGTGAACTACACACACTTGAAATGAGTGTATGGCTACGTGTGTGTGTACGAAGTCTCCAAAGCAATGTAAAAGTTACCATTATGCCACAAAAAACAGATTAATCCCTCAGCAGCTTTCTACCAAAATCCATTTTGAGGCAAGGCCTCATCTGCAGTTTGCTAACTCCTGAGAGAATTTTTTTTAAAGTAAAATCTGTGAAAACAATTACCTGCTGTGATTTCTTTCTAGAATACATAAAATACATCTAACAATGACATTTCCATATAGCTAGTATGGAAGGAATATCACAAGACTGTTTGTTGATAAATTCTGTAAAAACAAATAATAGTAAAAGGATAAAAATGCAAAAGTTTCTGCTAAGGGGCTGCAGGTAGGCAAAAAAAAGTAAACATTTTGCATTCAACCTTTCTTTTGACAAGTACTATAAAAAAAGAGAAGTAAACCTAAGAAGGAAATTTTGCTCAGTGACTGCAAATTAATTAGAGTAAAATACAATATCTCATGAAAGAATCACTTGTAAGAATTAGTGCTTTTGTTGCTGCTTTTGATTTACTTACTGTGCTCTTTGATAATAACTATAAATTACTAGTTATATTGCACCTACCATATTGCTAATCTCCCAAATTTGAAGCAGGTGTCCTAGGAAGGTAAGACAGTTCAATCCTTCAAAATATGTGTTTCACAAGAGACTCATGCAAATCGCATCTTTTTAAAACATTAAAGTAGGCAGGGTTTTTTTGTAAGGGTGCTGCAATCTGTTCTGTTCCTGTCTGCTTAACTGTGTGTGAATATATGCTGAACCACTTAATTTTAAATTTTTCTTAGGAATGAAGGATTTGCACAACCCTAATTAATTGTTTTCATTGCCCAGATATTGCATGGGTTTATTTTAGTTAAAAGGTAGATTGCTAATTTGCTTCTTGTTCTCAGTATAAAAAACATGGTTCTGTTAGCTGTAATAAAAATTAGGAAATCTTTAATTTCCCTAAGATTGTGTATTTCTGGTGCTTTTCTGCATATTTCTTCAATCTGGTACCTTCCAGATGAGGTGGGGCTGCCACTTCAAACAGCCCCAGGTATCACAAGCAATCATTGGAAATGCTAGTAGGTGATTGCCTTAATGTATACTGATTGCCCAAAAGTCCGATTCTCCTTAGCATTTTAAGACTTGTTCTGTATGATTGGGTCATTTAAGATATTGTTTTTCCTTTATGCTGAATGCTACCTCTGATCATTTTCAGAATTCTGAAATCTACAAGTTGACTTTGGATCAATACAATGAGGCAGTCACCAATGCAGAAGATCAAATCAGGTAAAAAAAAAACACCACCCTTATTTTTGCAGTATCTTTGATACATATAAATATAATGATTTCCACAAAGTGTCCGTGAAATGTAGGTCACCTAAAATATTTTCTCCAAAGTTTGATATAAGTTTATAGATTGGAAGTCGGATGTAGTCATCATAAGGGCTGCAACACCAAACCTTGATACATTCATGTAAAACTCTGTAAGAGTAGTGAAACCAATGTCTCTATAGAAAAAAATTCCAAGAAATCCAATAAGGAAACAGCATTGAAACTCAAGGCAAATGTGTCTGTCAACCAGTGACGTGCAGTCAGGGGAGGCAGAGCCTCACCACTGTCATCATGAAAAGAAAAAAAAATGTAAAAGGAAAAAGGCAAGAGCTGAGGTCAGGCTGAGCTAGTTCCTGCCAGAGTCACAGTGGATGACTCTGCTTAGTGCTTAACTGTTTAAAAAAGCCTCTAAAAAAGCAGGAGAATGACGTGCCTCATCTAGTCTGACTTTAGGCGTTTTATGATCACTCGAGCAGAGTTAAGCAAGGGTTAAAAGCTGAAAAATTCCTGACGTAGATGAGGCATGTCGTTCTCCTGCCTCCTCCTTTAAAGGGTGCTTTTTTAGAGGCTTTTTTAAACAATTAAGCAGAGTCATCCACAGTGACTCTGGCAGCAACTAGCTCAGCCTGACCTCAGCTCTTGCCTTTTTCCTTTTACATTTTTTTTCTTTTCATGATGGCAGGCAAGAGCAGAGTTGAAATCCTCTCTGAAACAGCTGGAAAAGGTACGTGTGGGTCGGAGGGAGGGGGAGTAATTCAAACTTCATCCTCCTGGTGCGGGGTTTTGGGCAAAGGCTGGAGGGAAGTGCTCTCCCTCCCCAAGTGTAGTTTGATTGCAGGCAGAGCCACGTTGTCTTTTCAAACCTGTAATCAGTGAAGCTGGGCTGGATCCTTCCGGGGCTGGGGGAAAGTGTGTGTGCTCCAGTATGGCTCTTTGACTGGCTTCCTGCCTCCTCCTGTAGTTTCCCTGACTCCCTCAAATCCAACTTTGTGTGTGTGTGTGTGTGTTTGAGAGGGGGAGGGAGGGAGAGAGGGAGGAAGGAGGGGAAGGGAGAAGAAAAAGAAAGAAGGAAACTTATTTCACAAAGGAAAAGAACAAATGCTGTCGCTTTAAATCGGAACTGAGCATGCCTGGCTGTGGAATTCTGGGAGTTGAAGTCCACAAGTCTAAAAAAAATTGTGTCAGTGCCTCACCAGCCATAAACCTCACCGCACGTCACTGCTGTCAATCCATTCCTACCAGATTGATCCCAGGTTATTACCCTGCCCTAGCTTTGTGTATCCTTCAGTATACCTTATGTGAGGCTTCCCTTCTGCCTGAGAGGGCAAGGGCGAAATGTCATCACTGCCCCAGCTACTGGCTGCTCCTTCCCGCTTTCCTGTTTCTCTCATCACCTCTACTATCTCACTCTCTCCTTGTTATGACTTTAGAATGAGGGAAAAAAATACATCTCCTGAGTGCAGATTAAGAGCAGAACAACCAGGCCGATATGGAATGGCAAGCCCTAGTCCTAACTGTGGTAATACTTAAATGAGGATCTATGCTAGATGTGTGATTACTATACTGCTATGTATGTATGTTTTTTGTTGTTGTTCTGGTTTGCCAGAAAATTGGCATCTTTACTTTTACTCTTCTCTTGTCTCCATAAATCTACTTTGCTCTACTCCAAGTTATTCACCTATTGAAATGGGCAGGAAATAGTTTTGCCTTCTTATGGACTGTCCCTGCAAGTTGAGAGATCCATGCCTCACATCACTTATTTTTTTCCTATGTATTATTGGAGAAAATGACTTAAAGTTGCATGCAGTAATTCTGAGACCTCAGAAAATGGCAGATAGACCGCACATTTGAAATGTGCAATCTAGATGGCCAAGGATTAAATTTGTTTATCTGTGAATCTTGGTGATTGTGCAATTAGAATCAGCCAAAACAGTTCTGTGGTTCAGTAGCATCTAATTGACATCCCCAGGGGCAATCTGCTCCATACAATGCAAGGCTACTCTTGAAAAGACATGATTTCTGATACTCGTTCCTTTGAATTCAAATTGGTATGGGATTCTAGGAAGCCCTCTCTAGATGAGAAAGAGAATCATACTCAAAGAGAATCATACTTGGGGATGCTATCCTTGATGTATCCCAGTACCATGCCATACAAGGCTTTATACACAACCAGCATTTTGAATGGACTCCCTGTAGCCAGTGCAATCTGAGCATCACAATTTGCACTAGTTGCAGCTTCTGAGTCATCTTCAAAGACAGCTCCATTGGGTGGGGGGGGGTGTTTGTCCAGTTTTAAAGGCATCTCAGTTTATGTATGGTTATAAAAATGTACTAGTTCCACCAGGAGGTGTGACTCCAGAAGGACCCCCAAGTCACAGAGCAGCTCTTTTGGGAAACTGCAGCTCCATTGAGAGCTTCATATTAGATAACACTGATATTTGAAGCTGATGTTAGATAACACTGATTTTTACAAACATTCAAGACATCCACAGTTGTCAGACTCATTTGTGAAGAGTTCAATTAGCTTTTGAATTCAAAGAAGAAAGAGTCATCATAATACAGAGATTGGAATGCAGTATTGCAGGCTAATTCTGCTGACTGCCAGCAGTTTGATCCCGACTGGCTGAAAGTTCACTCAGCCTTCCATCCTTCCGAGGTCAGTAAAATGAGGACCCAGATTGTTGAGGCCATTATGCTGACTCTGTAAACTGCTTAGGGAGAGCTGTAAACACTATATAAGTCTAAGCTATTGCTGTTATTGTTCAAGCGATACTCAGGAATCTTCTCAGACTGACAATTTGCCACTTGGGTGACTAGTTAAGGTTCAATGGCATTCAAAGGGATCAGACTTTGCCCTCTTATGCCCACAAAGGGACTCCAGACTAATTCCCTGTTTGACCCCCCCCCCCCAGCTCACCCAGTGTGTCTCCTACAACAGCATCTTAAGTTTACAACAGACTGAAAATATATGGAAGAGGTTTAGAATAATTCATAGGTGAATAAACCCAACTCATAGGAGAATAAATTCAATCAAACTTCTGGATTCTGTTATAGCCACTTTTAGTAAAAGTAGTTTTGCCCTTCCCATGAAGTTGGTATCCCAGTCTGGTCTACTTGTTGGGGCTAACATACACCATCCATAACATAATTTGCCCCAGTGCTTCATGGTAAAGGAGAAAGCCCTGTGACACTTAGCATTGAAGCATCCAATGGCTAAAATTCTCTTCCTCTTCAATAACCAAATGGAACCACTCACTCAAAAAGGAGACAAGTTTGACAAATGAGAAAAAAACTAAGGGTTTGTAGCTGTGCTTTGGGAGAAAAATGAATTTAGGCCAATTTTGTTTTATTTTAACTGTAGTTAAAATTTTGAAGACCTTGTGTTATATAGTGCCTTTCTTCTGGGAAGGGGGTATAGTGAGCTTGATAGGAACTTCAAGAAATCTAAATCATTGTGATCTATATCTTTATTATAAATTAAATAATAGAGTCCCAGGTATGTAAAACAATAACTCTTTTAAATAACCATTATATGGTTGTTTAAGTAGCATGCATACATCCTATTTTTGGTATTACAAAGTGTTTTATGTGGTCCTAGCCTTGAAGAGTTGCAACTGGAACAAAATTCTCTAGCCACTAACTGGTGCAAAAACATAGAGATCCACTCTGGTTGCCAGTTCCTTTCTAGGCATTATTTAAAATTCTAAATTCTAATTATAAGATGAATTGTCTTCTGATCGGAAGCTGTAAGGCCAGTAAGTTCTGTAGACAAGGCCCTTGTGAACTGTCAGAGGCTCATTCATCTGGAACACAAGACATGGCTTTCTGCATCATCCTCAGGCTTTGGAATGCATTCCCTGAGTCAGTCAGTTTTTTTGTCCCTATATTTAGAAAATCCATAAAGATATCTATCTTTTGTCAGGATTCAATTGTTGACTGCTTTTATTACTAAATGTGATTTTCAAATGTGAACTTCAGTATTTTAATAATTGTTTAGCTGCCTTGAGTGCTTCACTAGAAAGGCAGGATGTGTATATAAATAACACATTTCTAACTTCTTGATGATGCATGGAGTTGAATCATAGAACTGGGAGAGGCCACATAAGCCATCAAGTCCAATACCTGGCACAGCACATGAATCCAAATTAAAACATTCCAGACAGATGTAATTGCTATCATTATCAAACTCTTATTCTTAGGAAGTTCTTTCTAACATTCAATTGAAACCCGTCTTCCTAAAACTTTAAATCCATTATTCTACATCTTGTATTCTGGAACAAGAGAGAGCAGGTCTGACCTTTCATTTGGCATCGTTTCAGGTATCATCCCCTTTATTGCTGATAATCCAAGAATAGTTATGAATTCTAGATCATCATAACCCACTTTAGAGTACGTTTGGAGTTTGGGATATCAGCTGCCCTTTCTAAAACATCTGCCCCAAATATGACACGCAATATTTCATCACCAACAGATAATGATCACCAATAATCATCAGTCATGAAGACAAGAGTACAAAGCCTGATTTTTTTCCACATCTCCAAAACTACATTTGCCAATGGAAGTCTATAGCATTTGGATTTATTCATAGTTACATCAAGCATACATTGAGTGTAGGCCCTTTGCATGATGTATACAGATGCAGAAATGTATACGTTGCAGTTTTTTGCTTCAGAAGTTATATTAATGGCTTAGCAAGTAACCAGGTCCTTTGGTGTATTTCTAGCCTAATTTCTTATCATTTAAAGCCGAGCACAGTCCTTGCTGCCTCTGGAATTACCTGCCCATTGTTGGGGTTTGGTGCAGTCTTAGTTTAGATTATCACAAGGAATTTTGTTTCCCATCTGGCTCCCTTCAGTCTGTGAGGCCGAGTTGCTGCACAGCTGCCATTTGAGCTCCGAGCAGAGTTGCTACTGGATGTCAAAAGCAAGAAAGGGTTTTATCTCCAGCTAGGGTTT